CGTTGATTCGACTGGTGGTGTTTTTGTCGTGATCGGCCCAGTAGTTCCTGAGTTATAGAATGGCTGCCATAGGCCACAACGGTCGTGTGACCTCTCAAGGTCACCGAGGTCACCTGAGGTCACCATATTCGAAACGGCTGGTGAAATCGCTTACGCTGAATCGACTGGTCGTGTTTTAGTCGCGATCGGCCTAGTAGTTCCTGAGTTAGGTATAGAATGGCTGCAATAGGCGAAAACGTAAAGTTGACCCTTTGAGGTCACCGAGGTTACCTGAGGTCACCGTATTCATAATGGCTGATGAAATCGCATACGCTAATTCGACTGGTGATGTTTTTTTGTCGCGATCGGCCCAGCAGTTCCTGAGTTATAGAATAGCTGCAATAGGCGAAACCGTAAAGTTGACCTTTTGAGGTTACCGAGGTCACCTGAGGTCACCATATTCGAAACAGCTGCTAAAATCGCATGCGCTGAATCGACTGGTGGTGTTTTTGTCGCAATCAGCTCAGTAGTTCCTGAGTTATAGAATGGCTGCAATAGGCGTCAATGCCAAGTTGACCTCTTGAGGTCGCCGAGGTCACCTGGGGTCACGATCTTTGAAACGGCTGATAAAATCGTAGCCCTTGATTCGAATTGTGTTTCGTTCGTTCTGATCAGTCCAGTAGTTCCTGAGTTGTAGGATGGCTGCAAGAGTGGCGGTTGTATAGTGTTGTCCAAACATTTATCCTCACACGTTGAAACACTGAACTCTATCCCCGCGTTCGATGTCTCTCGGCCGACGAAGATTCTACGTCGTCCGGCCAATCCCGTCCAAGGTCAGCGGGGGCTCAGCTGCAGTTATGGAACGTGATTGGCCGGACGGCGTAGAATCTTCGCCGTCCGAGAGACATCGAACGCGGGGTATAATGCGTTGAAAATTCTTGTGATTTAGGCAGATATAACGCAGCTCTTTCAAAAACTGCGCAAATAAAGCGAATGTCCCCCATCCCCATTATAGAGTTCAGTGCCCATCCCCCACTTTCGCGAGTCGCGATCGAAAATTACATGAGCTTTTGGCTCTGACCTCATTTTTGGTGCTACACATTTTGAGATTTTGCAACAAGAAGTTTTCTTTTGTCTTGTTTCACATCTTGAGAGAGGTAAGTTTTGAGGTGAGGTGAGAGGCATGAGTGTCACCGTCTTTGGTATTTTAGCACATGCTGTTTCTGGAGGATGGGTTGATTTCTGGCACACAGGTGCCAAAAATGACAAAAAAATGTCAAGATGAAGTCCTTAGAATATTTCAAAGATAATTTTTCCCAATAATACATTATTTGACATCATAGATCCAAAAATGATACATATCTTGCAAATAAAAGGAAATAAACCAAACCTGACCTAACCTTACCTCAGTTGGGGTCGGGGAAACTACGAGGCGAATGTCAAAAAATTGATTGGTCAATAAATGGACTTTTGATGACCATATATGGGCATAAATGCAGCCCCCGCTTCTAAGGGTGAAAAACGGTTTAACAAGCCAGTACTTGCAGTATCGCGTCCACTTATTGGAGAGAAAAGGCTTCCATTTTTCACTAGGAATTAGCGTGAGTTGATTGAATTCGGTGAATCGCCTAGAAAATGGCGATAGGAACACAGCTTTTCTGCAGGTTCTGGGCATCACAATCAGCTGGCCATTCAATAAATGGATTGGTTTTATGAAAGAAAATTGTTAAAAGATTTAATTTAATTACAATAAACAAAGGTATTTAATTTTAAAACAATAACTTACCACATTTAGAAAAAACCATAAACAAAACAATAAAAATAATAACATTTTAAACCAAAGTACTGCTTACATTTTTTGGCACGTCTGTTTTAATCCGCCATATTTGCCAATCACGGTTTGACCATGTGTTGTAACTCTGCAATTTAGAGCCGCCAATTAATTGTGCACGGAGTGAGTGTAGGCCTTGTGTGGTTAAAAAACATTCTTATGCCTTATTTTTTCAGTTGAATGCTAGGATTCATTGAAAAGAGGAAGTTGTCTGATTTTATGACCGTATATGGTCATCGCCCTGCCTACTCCAGCCGCTGATTGGCTAATCCAATTTTTGTTTGGCTCCTCGTAGTTTCCCCAACTGACCTACTTACCTACAACCTACCAACCTGCAACCTACAAACCTATAACCTAACAACCTACAACCTACCTACAAACCTACAAACCTGTACAACCTACAAACCTGGTACCAACCTACAACCTAAGACCTACAAACCTACAACCTAACCTAGCCTACAACCTAAAGTTTCCGCTGTTTCATATTTGTATCAACAGTGCCACCAGTGGCGGCGGAAGGTATTCTAGGATAGGGGTGCAAACGATATTGAAGCGCCCCTTCCCGCTGGGCGCCCCTTACCATGCCGATGGCCGTCCCTGCACTGGAAAATCAGTTTCGCCCCTATACAGGCGCCCATAGAAGTTTGTAGAGTGCTATTCCTGGTCATAATCATCTCCCAAGTAAAAAAAAAAAAAAACGCAAAATACGCCCTAGCACTAGGGGTGTAACCGCCCATACGGACAGTGCAATTTTACAGGCCCCAATCTCGGACCTCCCTTAACATTCATATGTTGTAAACGGCAAACCGCCCCCGATAAATGTTACACAAACTAATTTCCTCTCGCATATCGGCCATCAGGCGCCCCTTTTTGTCGCATGGAGCCTGCAACGCTATAAGCCCTCATATGTTCGTTTTGGCGTTCGGAGGCTATCGCCTTCAAAGACGTCTCCATAAATGTTTCTTTTTCGTCCCACACACAGGCGCCCCTCTTTCGCATGCAGGCGCCCCTCTTCCGCATGGCGCGCTTCTCGAGTAGCTGCGCCCTCCTAGCCTTTATCGCCTGGCAAGATTATATTCGACAGGGTCGGCAGCATCTGCCTTTGTTTCAGATAAGGATGCCCTCCACTCTTCAGCATATCAAAAGATACTTTTCCCACGTCATTGCCACCCTCTCCGTGTCACAAGTGCCTTTATCAGTTGCGGTGTCGCACTGCTCAGCTTTATGGCTGCCGCACCTCTTAACTTCCTGCCTCCTCTACAGATTTTCGAGGCGCCCCTTTCCATAGCTTTAGGGTGCAGCTGCCCCCCTTGCCCCCCTGCTTCCGCCGCCACTGAGTGCCACAATTGTATATCGGACCTTATCTTGACAAATACCCAATGATCCGCTTTTTTAGCAACAATGAAGCCGAGTGCAGAGTGCAGAGAGCCAGAGACGGGATTTTGAATGCAAGAAATATATGCGGTGGTTGCCAACACAAAAAAACATGGGGGGAGGGTAAGACGAACCACCCAGCAGTGCGTACTATCCATTTGTTTGTTACAATTCTGCTCAGTACCTTCTCTTGTAAGAAGACGTACCTAACCAGAGTGGCAAATGCATGCATGCTAGCTCAGGATGCGTGTGCATGGCTCACATGCAACAAAAACTCCTTCCTAAAAAAGCCTGTTAAAAGTTCCTCAGTAGTCGTCGCGCCCTAAAGCTCCAATAAACAAACAACAATACATTTTGCCACTATCATGATGTATATGTTAAATAGCTCAACATTAAGTATTTGGTAGGGGAGAGAGGGGCAAAACGGCCACCCTAACGCTGTTTACGATGCCTACGCATGATTTTTAAACTTGCAGAGATTCTTTCTATACGAATGTGATCCCTAGTAATTTGCCTTTTATTTCAACTACGTTTCATTTCCAAAGGCGTCCATATACCTATTGGAGATATTGGCAAAATTCTGAACCTTCTATTGGCAATATTATTGGCAGGAGACATTGGCAAAGCCTTAAACTTTAAACATTTTGACCGCTTTACCCCATACCCTGGGCAAAGCGGCCACCGGCAACCACTAAGTTCTGGTATGAGAAACAGAAAAGTTGCCTTATATGCGGTTTGTGTATTTGATGGTGACAAGGTTTAACCCGGCAGTTGCTGGGGTATTTCGCCACCCACCGTTTGCTGGGGGGGGGGGGGCGTTAAAAGCCCCCAGCCGATAACTCGAGAACCAATAGGCGCAGCGAAACGCACGAGGCGGCAAACGAAAGAACGCGACGAGACGCTTCAGATGAGTACTTTAAAGTTGAATTTTGAGGTCACAGGTCGGGTCAAGGTCGGGTCAAACACCTGAAATCGGGCTTTCAGTAGCATGGACTTCAGGACTTCGCAATGGGCGCCTCTCGTCATCAGCTCTGTCAAAACGGTGCACAATCCATCATATACCTAAGGCCTACAAGAGTGTCAGCTCCATGTAGGGGTCAGTCAAGCATAGGTCAGTGTCAAGGTCAGGTCAACCGGGTAAGCACATATCCCCGAAAATCAAAACTGATATTCGCAGCCTGTGACACATGTTTTATGGGTAATTTGGGGCGTAGAACACGATGGTGACATTCATTTTACCATATGTGTACGTGTTTGGCTCAAAAAGTTAAATTTAAGAAATGCATGTATCATGGTCGTGAAGTAGTTACGAGAAATTGCCGAGATTCAGTTCAAGATTTTGGAAAATGCTGAACGATAATCAATAATCGAAGATAGCCATTTGATTGTTCATGGTATTGGCAGTCTAATGGCGTTTACGGCATGTCTGTATGTCTATTCTGTGATTTTATATGATTTTTTGAACATATGCCGTTTTTGGTCGAAAACTCAGAAATCATGACGTCACTAAAACCTCGATATCTCAAAAATTTTCCGACCGATTTTTTTTGAAACTTTGTCACAATAACCTTCAATCAATTGCCTACAGGTACCCGAAATTTGATGGCCCGGCGAAAAAAGTGGGGGCGTTTAACGCCCCCCCCCCCAACAACTCGTGGGTTAAACGAAGATGGATGTTTAATCTGTTACCTTCACACCTGTTGGTAAACAAAGGAAGGATATTCATGGAGAAACATTTAATTGAATTATTTGGGTAATTCGTGTAACCAAAAGTGACCGAGATGACTGTATGACGACACTGATTTCACTGCTGCAGTGTCGGTCGGCGCGAGGCGTGCTCGCCATGTCGCACTGGACGGCCATGGTGGAGGGCGGCCCGGTGCGCGTCAACCACGCCGCCGTCGTCATCGAGGACACGATCCTGTCGTTCGGCGGCTATTGCGCGGCTGAGTTCGACCCGCACAACCCCGACAAGGCAATGGACATCCACGCCTTCTCCACCGGTCAGTGCCCCGACTGTACCCGGCTCTAGTTTAGGAAACGGCTCCTCACTCTACATAGTGCGGGACCCGGCTCCCTTCTCTAATGTATGACCCGGCTCTGATGTTGGTCCCGGCTCCCTTCTCTAATGTAGGACCCGGCTCTGATGTTGGTCCCGGCTGCCTTCTCTAATGTAGGACCCGGCTCTGATGTTGGTCCCGGCTCCCTTCTCTAATGTAGGACCCGGCTCTGTGTTGGTCCCGGCTCCCTTCTCTAATGTAGGACCCGGCTCTGTGTTGGTCCCGGCTCCCTTCTCTAATGTAGGACTCGGCTCTGATGTTGGTCCCGGCTCCCTTCTCTAATGTAGGACCCGGCTCTGATGTTGGTCCCGGCTCCCTTCTCTAATGTAGGACCCGGCTCTGATGTTGGTCCCGGCTCCCTTCTCTAATGTAGGACCCGGCTCTGATGTTGGTCCCGGCTCCCTTCTCTAATGTAGGACCCGGCTCTGATGTTGGTCCCGGCTCCCTTCTCTAATGAAGGACCCGGCTCTGATGTTGGTCCCGGCTCCCTTCTCTAATGTAGGACCCGGCTCTGATGTTGGTCCCGGCTCCCTTCTCTAATGAAGGACCCGGCTCTAATGTGGGGCCCGGCTCCCGGCTCTAGTGTGGGACCCGGCTCCCGTCGCCCGTCGCTGACCGTTGTACGCGTATGTCTGTATTTCTGCGAGTGTGTGATTGTCGAGAAACTGTTCGTGATGTGGATAACGTTGTCGTGACGGGGTGCGTCACGTGTATGTTTTTGGTCTTCTTTTTCGGTACATGTGCGGCATTTTCACATAATGGTCACGAGCTCTGGCTATGTATAGCGAGCTCTTCCTGTGATGTACTCTGCTCGATCTCAGTTCCCAGTGAGGTGTATGTACACTGTACAGTCTGTCTTAAAATGACCATCCCACCTTAACCCTCGCATGTTTAGGGGGGGGGGGGGTCGGATGGACCCCCCATGGTTTTTCGCGAATAACTCGCGCAAAAAGCGGCCGATCGCGACGAAACTTTCAGTACCCTCGAGTTGATCAATTTTACACCTCCTCTGAAAATTTCATGACCCTGACTCAAGTGACCTTTGACCTGTGACCTATTTCTCGAGGCCATGTTTGGCCGGAATCGCGATTCGGCGTATGTCGGCTCGCATTAGCTGCGCGTTTGCAAGCTTCTCGTGGTTTCAAGCGCTCAAACATGAGATTTGATGTTGCTCCCATGCATTTGGGTGGATGTCAAGTTCACCTGAAGGTCAGGTCAGGTCATTGACCTTTGGTGACCTCGGTTCACTTTTTCGAGCTGTACGTGATTCTAGGCTAGTTTTTGGAGCTGATTTCGAATTTAGCAACCATTTGAACATTTACGAAGTAGTTTTGGTGCCTTCGTAACATGTTACGAAGCTGTCAGAGGCGGTTGACACGTACTACGAAATCCCGTCACGACTCCTACTGGTCGACCTGACCTGACCTGACCTGACCCGACCTGGTCTAAATGCATGAAGACATCATCTATGCTCAAAACTAACACGATATTCGTGATCAACACCCCGAAAAACCCCTTAGCAGCCACACTTTACGACTTCCTAACAGGTCCCGATTTTCCCGACTTTGGGTCAATGACCTGACCTGGAAGGTCAACCAATGACCTAGGACCTTAACCCGCGCCCCACTGGGGTCTGCGTATAACACGCCCTACTGGGGGGGGGGGGGGGGGCTATTCATAGCATCCCTCCTAACTCCGAAACTACTGGGCCGATCGTCAAAATTCAAGCGGCGTCTGATGATAGCCCCGGAAAAACTGTCGAACGAAACCTAATTTCATTGACCTCGAGGTCACCGATGACGTCACAGGTCAGGTCAAAGTAAAAATTATTAGCATTTTGGCTTGTTCACGTTTTGGGCTCTGGCCGCCGTCTTACGAGTCAGATCAGGCTCATTTTTGGTTCACACACTCGTGAACAGATGCTCTAGATACCCTGAGGGTACCAAACTTGTACTTTGATTTTCAGGTCAAGGTCAGGTCATCACAGGTCACGAAAATATTATATCATGCGTCGGTCACGTTACACATGTTTTATGGTCCATTTAGGCCAAAAATCTTGAAGTTGATGTCGTCTGTGTCATTCGAGGTCATTTTGAGTCAAATTTAGCTTACGTTAGGTCACTTTCAGGTCAAAAAAGGTCAAATTCTGAAGTTAAAATTTTTCAACAAAAAAGGTGTCTATTGGATGCAGTTTGAGCTCAGGAACACGATGGTGCTATTTATATTGGCGTACGATGTCAAATACGTACTGAAAAATTGATTTGAAAAATTAATTATTGTGATTTTTTTGCAATAATGCGTATAACTTGGCCATTTTTTAAGATATTTAGCTTAAACTTGCTAGAGTTAGTCATAATAATTCGTTCTATCACATACATTCCGTTTTTTTTTTCGAAAATACAATTTTTTTTGGAAAAAATGTAAAAATGTAAATTTAGAATTTTATTATATAAAATTTTCGAAATTTTCAAAACTTAGAAAATCCGAGATTGCAGTTTGATAACGCAGTCTATTCTGAGTCCTCTTATGCAAAGAAATTGGATCTAGCTTAAAAACTGAGCCCTTGGGAGCGATTGCCGTGGTTCAATGTTTTGCGTCGAAATCGGCCGAACATGACGTCACTCTGACGTCATTTCCGGCCGACCTATGGTAGCTACGAAGTTCAAATTTTGACACAAGGTGTCAAATTGATGCAGTCGAAGGTACTGAAAGTTTGGCGTCGATACGTCAAGCGGTTTGGAAGTTATTGCAGAAAAACGGGAGGGGGGCTATGAATAGCCCCCCCCCCCAGTGGGGCGCGGGTTAAAATTGGGTATCATCGGCTTCCTCTCGTCACGGGCAACACGCTCGTTTTTTCCGCGAAGCTCTAGCTCGATCAGGGGCCAAACGGCAGGGGGGGGGTCCAACCGACCCCCCCCCCCCTACACATTAGAAGCTGGCAAACGCCGCACACATGCGAGGGTTAACATTATTTTTGAGTTGAGATAGCCAAATTGGGGGCCATGGCCTGCAAATACCGGTTTGGGCACTCACAACATCGAACAATGCTTTAGTTGGGAGATATGGAATTTCAAACTTGCAGTTTTTTTTATTCTAAGGAGCTAATGCATTGGAATGCTGCTTATAATTTGTGACGTCAGCGGAGATCTAACGATTTTTAAATCTTAGACTAAAACCATCGTTAACATCGTTAACACATCGTTAACACTAAAACCATCGTATACACTGCTTTGCGCGCAACGTCTGCCGCACTTCAAGGCTGCCAAACTATTGCTTCCAAATAAAGTCGCTAGGAACAGCGGAGTTCACAAAAAGTAAACAAAAGTAAAAGCCTAATATCTTGAAAACCAGTGAATGTTTTTCGGTGAAATTTGTTAGATGTTCGTTTTTGATCTTTCTGAACCAAGGGACATTACTTGTATGCCAATTCATTAACTTTTTTGAAGGTGGGAGGGTCCCTTTAAAAATACCGCGCAAAGTAACGGTGGATCCATCAAGCCTGACCGAGGAAGGGCCTGCTATAATTGGAAAGTCACCGAACCAATTAACCTGGGGGAATGGACGAGGATGTCCATTGCTTCGGTGACTCAAATTTAGCAGTCCTTCCTCGGTCAGGCTTGATGGATCCACCGTTACTTTGCGCGGTACTTTTAAGACAGATTACTCTGCTGGCTTTCAGTTCCCAGTGCGGTGTACTCTGCTGGCTTTCAGTTCCCAGTGCGGTGTACTCTGCTCGATTTCAGTTCCCAATGCGGTGTACTCTGCTTGATTTGAGTTCCCAGTGCGGTGTACAGTATATCTAAAAAGTATGTCCCCTGGTTTGGCTCTCCCACAGGAGGCGAATCGGTAACTTGGCTGAATCCCAGTTGCGGCACCCGGCCGCCAGGGTCGCTGCCGCGCGAGCGGCCTTGACCGCTCGCATGTCATTGGCAGTTCGGTCCCTCCCCATCTATACCGAGGTGGGGAGGGGAGAAGAGGGGAAGAGAGGGGAGGGAGCGGCATCCGCTCGGCACTTGGCGATACCTGGCTGACCCCGCGCTCCCTCGCTGACCTTTGTCCTGCCCTCAGGCGAAGCCCGACTTCCTGGCCTGTAGCGGCCCAGCGGAAAACCGAGCTCGCGGGGCGCGACTCCATTGGCCAAATCTTATAAATGGAATGCTGTCGTATTCACGGCATTGGATAATATTAATAGTGATACCAGCAGTGGATGTGGTAAAATACAGTCCAAAATAAACGAAAGCACTCGATTCGTGCATAATGCGCCCTCCCATTCAAATAAGCCCGCCCACTTTGATAGATGGTGTAGTTTCTTAGGGCGTAAAAGATGCAAAACACTACCGATTTTTTCTTTTAGCTCGGCCACTGGGACCGACAATATACAATTGACTGAAATGCATGAAAACCATTTTGCATTTAGGTAATAGCCGTTTTCTGCACCCAAACTTTAGCCAGTGACGCCCTGTCCATTCTAAAGCGTTTATAAGATTGGTCCCAGCACCCGATTTTATATGAGGAAGTCGTTTAAAAAGCATCTTATTTCTAACGAATTTATTATTATGGCCACTTTTACAAGACGTCTATAGAGCTTTGACTTTTACATTTCTTCCTCGTTCAGGAGAAACGTTTTAACCCTCACCGGACCTTCAGGTTTTCTGAATACCGAGGGGACGTTGGGGGTTGGAAGTGAGGAAACAACCCCCTTCGCCGATTCGCCCCTAATTGAGCTAGAGCCTCACGAAAGAAACGATCGTGTGCGTCGTTACGAAATGCAGCGATTGGTCTCCGCTTTAAGGACCAGGGTCAGCCGATGACTTCGGAGGTCAGGTCAAGTGGCCCAAGGGACAGGTTCGGTTTTCGGTAAATAACTTTGCTAAAAATGATCGCAGATCCGCAATTTTAGCAGCATCGTGTTTGTCTAGCTCAGGCGTGTCGAATGGTATACT